GATAAGCCAGCCTCATGGAGAAGAGAAAAAAGGGGAAAAACAGATGCAGCCACTTCTCAAGATGTCTTCTTATTGATCTGCCACAAGAATTTATTTTTTTACACTTTATAACCCAAAACCCAAAGTACTTGTCTCTCATGCCATTCCTTGCACACCTTTAGGAGGTAAAATAAACGTTCTTTGTTTAAAACTATTCTTATCTTTGTGTCGAGAATTCTTTCTCAGTCCCTGTTACAAGGTCCCACCCTAACGTGGTGGCCTGTATGGGGAAGTCACTTCTCTACCTCCATATGGAGCACTCACTTTTCAGCCTGTCTCAAAACTGCTCCCTCTCCCTCCTCTGCTGCACAGCTCTCAGGACTTCCTTCTCAGTGCCCCAGTACCATTTGGAATTTGGTAAGTCTCTAGGGTTTTGGAAATGGTCGCATACTCGAGAAAGAGTTGGCAGATTCATGGTTATGGAGGACCCTGGTGCCAGGTCTGCCACTCTTGGAGATGTGCCTTGGAGGAATGCCTCCTAATCAACTCCTCCAAGACTTCACCCAGACCCAGGGACTCCTGGCCTTGGGGAAGCTCCTCTCTAGGTTTTGGTCTGACTCAGAACTCAGGAATTCCCGATGTCTGATCAGTATCCTGAGGTCATCCAGTGGTGGATGCCCCACTCACACTGTCTGAAGTTCTCTATGTTCAGGCTTTCTTTAAACTTGCTAGACATTCTGATCACTCTGGCTGCTACATGTTACTTCTTACTCCTGCATCTCTCTCACTGTTTTCACCTTCCAGATGATGTTTCTCTTTCAGAGCCCTCCATTCCCCTTCCTCCTCCTTCTTCTCTGTCTCCACCACTCTCACCCAGTCACACTCACTCCTGCTAGCTGTTCCAAACTCCCTCCCTGCCTGTGCACCAGCTCCCTCTCCGGGTCCTTTACTGGGTCAAAAGACATTATAAATTACTCAAAGCCAAGATGAAAAATCAAGCTCTTTTTCTTTCACAGCTGTCTGACACCATTCACCTCTGTATTTACTTAAATCCTGACAGCAAGGAGGGACAAACTGTCTTAGCAATGCACTTCATCCCCTTGGTCTTCTACATCATTATTTCCAGAACTTGCACCATCTCATCCATCCTTCCAAAGAGTTCTCCAATTTTATTCATTTCCTCTTAAAATATATCATTTAAGGATTTTGATTTTTTAACAGTCCAACAGCAGCACAGATTGAAATAAGAGAACCTAACAATGTGTGGGTAATAAATCTATTTAATGGTCTTTCCAAATAGCATGAGCTTTGACAAGTGTCTGATGGGTGGTGCTCAGAGTCTTCTGCCAAATCCCTGCAGCATAAAGTCCAACAGTGGGGACAGAGGAGAGCTGCATTCTCAAGAAGGCTAAATTTGTGGGGGAGAGAGTGTGCCATCTTGTGACACTGGGAATATCAAATTTAGGGACTTCTAGTTCAAGGTGATGAAATGAAGTGTGAAATCTAAATCTATACCCCACAAAACCTAAAACAAAGAATGGCAAATATGAAAAACTAGAAGTCAATCCCAACAGCAATCTAACAAAAGAAAGGGCTTCTGTTCCACCACAGGGAAAGGTAGAAATTTCCAGGAATCCCCTCAGGTTGGGGTAATGTCTTATCACAGTTTCTGCCCTGCATTTGATGTAAACAGTACAGAAGAGAGGTTAGAAGCAAAATTCTGGAAACAAGGTCATAAATAGCTTCCAGCTTGGAGAAATGCTACCTAGGCATGGCTTGGATAGGGCTGAGAACTCACTAGAAAACTTCCACACAGGGCAAACTTCCCCCAACTACTGCCATTTCCCACCACAGCAGAGTAGTAAAAGCAGAAAGGTCACAAAAGTACATGCAATTATCCCCCCAAATTAAATAACAATGAGTCAAATAAAATTATCTAAGTCAGCAGGAAGTAGAATAGAATCAGAAAAGAACCAAGTAAGACCACGCTGCCCAGATTTTGTAGGTTTACTGTAGGGCCCCAGCCTGCTTCCATAAATCTTTCCAGTCTTCTGGTCCAAGTGCACCTAAGGCCATGCTGGAGAGGGGAAGCAAATGGAGAGCAGGGAAACACACCCAGAAGCCTCTCTCTCCCCAAAGACAGCTGGAGCTGGGGAGAAAGAGTTCTCAGAAAGCGGAGGTACCCCGGAGTAGAAGAGAGGTGTTGATGGTGTCTCTACCCCAACCAGGCTGCAGGAGGCTGGATGCGGGACACTGGAGGAAAGTTCGGGAAAGCCAGCTCAGCCCCACCATCCACACGTGAACCTCCTGAGGCAGAAAACACAGAGGGAATCCAGGGAAAGCTCAGAGAAACCCTAGAGCTCAGTGAGGAAGAGAACCAGGTTTCAGAGAGCATGGGGAAGGCAGCCGAAAAAACTGAATTGAGACAGATTTACCCAGACAGAATGGGCCATTTTAAGCATGAGCAACACGGAAAAAATAATTTGGTATTTACACCCACAGTACAACATAAATAAATGAATTGTTAAATGATTAAAAGAAGAAAGAGGGAAGATAAGAAAGAAATAAGAAATATAATGTGAAATGGCACCCATAAAGATCTATTTCAGAAGGAAAGAACCAGCTGAGATAAAAATTTTGGATCAAAACATCCCCAGTAGGCCAGGCGCCGTGGCTCACGCCTGTAATCCTAGCTCTCTGGGAGGTCAAGGCAGGAGGATTGCTCAAGGTCAGGAGTTCAAAACCAGCCTGAGCAAGAGTGAGACCACATCTCTACTATAAATAGAAAGAAATTCATTGGCCAACTAATATATATAGAAAAAAATTAGCCAGGCATGGTGGTGCATGCCTGTAATCCCAGCTACTCGGGAGGCTGAGGCAATAGGACCACTTGAGCCCAGGAGTTTGAAGTTGCTGTGAGCTAGGCTGATGCCACGGCACTCACTCTAGCCTGGGCAACAAAGTGAGGTTCTGTCTCAAAACAAAAAACAAACAAACAAACAAACAAATCCCCAGTGCACACTTGGTAAATGTAAATGAAATTGCAAGAAATATAATAGGCTCACTGTAAAGATAAGTCATTAATGAACAGGTAAGTCTAGAGGCCTTCCCCATGAATGCAGAAGGAAAAAGGCAAGTAAATGAACACAGTTAAAGAGGAGCTAACACTAATAGAGAGCAGGCTCATTGAACATAAAAACAAATTGTTGTCCATGCATAGGGACCCTATGAAGGTAACAGGAGGCTTTTCAAAGACACAATAGAAAAAGACTTCTCTAGACCTGAGGAAGAACAGATTCTGAAAATCTCAAGAACAAACCGTGATTTCCCCCAAATCTGCACATTATCTACAAAGACACAGGGACTAGTTATGTTTTTAAATATAATTATAAAAATTAACAATTCTTCATGCATTCTGGTAGGACAAAACAAAAAAACTGGTAAGAGCAGAGAAAAAACAACAGCCTGGATTCTCTCATCCCAAGAAAACAATGAAGTAGCATATAACACATTACAAGTGTTGCGGAAAAGAAGCTGAGAGCCAGGATACCACATGCAGGCAATATTTAATTCAAAGATAAGTCATGAGGTGGAACAGCTCACACAGGAAATAATTCAGAAACATATTACTGTCTTAGTCTGTTCAGGCTGCTATAACAAAATACCAGAAACTGGGCTGGCATCTTTCTATTCAGTCTTCAAAATTTAACCAGAGGTCACCTCCTCCATGAAGTCTTCCCTGATGAGCCTTCCCACTGAGAGTGAAATCACTTCTTGCAGTGTGTCCAGTTCATGCATGCCACATTGTGTTGTAGTGACACTTCCTTACTGGAGCTCCCTCAAAGCACAGCTATAGTATTATCAATCTGCCCCCAGTGTTACCAGAAAGCCTGAGAAAGCAAATGCTCAGGAAATGTTCTCCTACTGGAGCAGATTAATAAATCAACTTGCCAGTGGAATTCCAATAGCCCCAACATGAGGGAGACAAGCCTTTCAAACACAATGCTCAAAAAGAGCTGCTTGGCACTGCATTTTTGTTTGAGAATTCTGCCCTCAGCCTTGGAGAATTGTTCTGTATAGTCAGAGAAGGACTGGGAACAAAGGCCTTTAGGTTTCTTACTTTGCCACTCAGTAGCCATTATTTACCTGTGGCAACAATACTTAAATTTTGCTTTAGTGGAAGCAACTCTAGGTCCCTGGGCTACAGATGAAGATGACTCCACCCCAGAATTTCCCAGCTACTATGGCCAGTGACAGGTTTAGAAATGCCCACAGCCAGCACACACAGATCAAGGAGACAAGCCCAGGCTTGGGCTTGAGCAGAGCGGTGTGCAGGAAGAAGTTAAGTCTGTCTAGCTGAGCTCAGTTGTGGAACTAACACAGAGGAGGCAGAACTAGGAGATGGACCCTGACCCTAGGCCTGGACCTTTTTAGCTGTATGAACTAACAGATGCCCCTTTTCATTTACGCTTGTTTGGACTGGGTTTTCTGCCACCTGCAACAGAGAGTCCTAACAGATTCAAGTAGTTAAAGACATGCTGGGTTGACCCCAGTACATGCATACAGACCTGCATACACATGTAGTCATATAATAAGGTACAGATAAGTACAACTGTCTTTTGTGCTCTATTATCTTTCAGGGCAGTCAGGGTCAACAAAATCTGTTGTGCTGCCCAGCTGCTGACATCATTTTGCCCAAATAAAGGGCTACAGTCACTGGAAGCACCAAGAAAAACAGGGGAAGAAGGGGAGGAGGGAATGGTTTAGCTTCTTCCCTGTGAATAGAAATGGTCCCAAAGACTCTGGAGAGGAAAGGATTTTAGCCCACAGAGCAAAAGGCTGCTCTGCCTGTCCCTGTACAGGTATGTTGTGGACGGGCCAGATGATGCAGGTGAGACCTGCGAGGCACATAAGCGTGGCAAACAGGATCAGCGAAAAACTGATCCTCATTAAAGTTGATTTTTCCAAATAAGAAATGTAAATTGATACTTTCATTATAAATTATTACATTTTTTGACATACTCCTTTTAAAGTCATATATTTCTTCAGAAATTTTTGTCATTTTCAATCACATGTCCTGCAACTTAAGCAGATAAACACAGATCTTCTTCTGACTTCCAGACTTTCTCAGTCGGGCCAATGGGGTAGAGTCACGGGAAAGGGTGGGACAGGCAGGGGGCCGTCACATGTGGAAGGCTGCTGCTACTGTGGCTGCCCGAAGACAGAGCCACGAAAAGAAGTGCCTCTGGGGAAGCGGATTTGGCCTGAGGTGGTTGCTCTGGTGACAATCTTTGTTGAAGTAGCTGGAGTTCTCTGCTGAAGAATAGTGCTGTGGAATTCAGAAAATAAAAAACCATTACAAACACAGAATATAAAAATTCACCATCACAATGTATCTATCATACACAGTACAGAAAATCAGGTATAATCAATCCAGATCCAAGATGTATTTTACAGAGCTTAGGAGCAAAAGGTAAGTTAAGTGGGAAAGGGTATTAAAAGAATAGTATGTAATGAGATAAAGCCTCCTAGAGTTTAAGGGAATAGTGAATATATATTTTTAAGGACAAGGTTAATGTCAGGAAATTCTAGGGCAGAGAATGGCTAACTCAAGCTTTTCCCCTTTGCTTCCCTCTCAAATTGTCTAAACACAGGGAACTGTGCCAATATGAAAGAAATAAAGAACATGCAGGCATACTCGAACAGGCAACTAAAAAGTTTTAGAAACACACAAATGATATGAATATAAAACTCCACATGCTGAAAGCAACTTGGGGAAGAGAACAAACGTCTTATACCCTATTTATGTGAGAGGGATGGTGTCCTCTAAGCTATGCATAAAACAAAGCCTATCGTAAGATATGTCCAATTCAACTCTAAGTGGTAAAGTGAATACATAACATGACCATATGTGCTCTCAAGCTTTTCCTAAAATACACTGACATAGTTTAAATGAGCTATTATAATAAGGTCATGGGTATAGAAGCTAGTCATTACATAACACAGTATCCTATGTTGTTTTAAGATAGTTTAGAATCTTTTTACCCAAAGGAAATTTACAAAGAATTTTTTATAAAGACTCCTTTTATCCTTTATAAAGAATAGTCAAAATCCCTAAGGAGTCAATAAAGACTTTTTCTTCAAAAAGGAAAAACTTGTTAGAAAAAATTAACTGCTTACAGACACAGAGGTGACAGTGGCTGGAAGTCTGCAGTTCCACCTGGCACAGACAGCTACTGGACACAACTACCTGCAGGAGTCTCACCAGGACCACACTATTCCTGAATTCCATCTAGCTCAGTCATCGTGACCTCGGAATTCTAAAGGTATAGTTTCTTTCATTTAAGGAGAAGCAGGGATTTAGAATTCAGATCTTATTATTCTAGTGTCTTTTCTGAAGAAATCCTTTCAAAGGATTTCTTAGAAGCCGTAAAACTTAGGAAACCAGCAGGTTCTTCCTTTCCCCCACTTCTCATATCCAGACCAACCACGACATCTTGTTGGTGTCAGCTTCCTGACAGCCTTTCAGCTGGCCCGTCCTCTCCATTTCTACTGCCAACGTCTCCGCGCAGAGCCTCAGGCCTCATCTTCACTGGGCTCCCTGCCTCTGCCCCCACCTCCAGTCTATCCAATCAACGGCCCAGTTAACTGGACCTTGTTGCTCATCTGCTCAAAACTTTTCTAGAAGCATGCTGAATCTTCAGGATCAAGTTCAGACTTCTCACCCTGACATGCAAGTCACACATCCTTGGGGCACTGCAGTCTCATCTCTGCCATCTCACCAGGCTTTGCCTTCCATGATGGCTCTGGAAACTTGACTTTCTGGCCCTCCTGGTGATGTGCGGTCCCTTGGTAAAGCACCAGGTCAGAAAACGCTTGCTGAGGCTATTCTCTGTGCCTGAAGGGCTGGCATCTTTCTGCTCACTCTTCAAAATTCATCCAGATATCATTTTCTCCTTGAAGTCTTCCCTCATGCACCCTTCCACTGAGTTAAATCACTTCTTGTGTGATTTTAGTTCATGCATGCCACATTGTATTGCATTGCATTCTTTGCTGGAGCTCCCTGAAAGCACAGCTATAATATTGGTAATGTGCCCCAGTGTCAGTAGAAAGCCTGACTAAGTAGGTGCTCAGTAAATATTCTCCTGATAGAACAGATTAATCATCTTGCCACTGGGATTTTGATAGCCCCAACATGAGGAAGACAGTCTTTAAAATAAATTGCTCACCAACATTTATTGTTTTGGGGCTTTTTGATAAAAGCCATTTTTACTGGAGTTAAGTGATATCTCACTGTGGTTTTGATTTGCATTTCCTTGATGATTAGAGATGTTGAGCATTTTTGCATAGGTTTGTTGGCCATTAGTCTGTCTTCCTTTGAAAAGTTTCTGTTCATGTCCTTTGCCCACTTTTTGATGGGATTATTTGATTTTTTTCTTCCTAATTTTCCTGAGTTCTATATAGATTCTAGTTATCAGCCCTTTATTGGATCTGTAGCATATTTTCTTGCATTCTGTAGGTTGTCTGTTTGTTCTGATTACAGTGTCTTGGCTGTGCAGAAGCTTTTTAATTTAATTAGGTTCCATTTGTTTATTTTTGTTGTTGCGGTGATTGCCTTTGGAGTCATCTTCATAAATTCTTTCCCTAGGCCAATGTCTATAAGAGTTTTTCCAACATTTTCTTCTAAAATTCTCATAGTTTCATACCTTAGATTTAAGGCTGTGATCCATGAGTTGATTTTTGTGAAAAGTGAGAGGAGCGGATCCCATTTCAATCTTCTACATGCTGCTCTCTGATTTTCCCAGCACCATTTATTGAATAAGGATTCTTTTCCCCAGTGTATGTTTTTGTCTGCTTTGTCAAAGATTAGATGGCTATATGAGGATGGTTTTATATCTGGGTTCTCAGTTTTGTTCCACTGGCCTATGTCTCTGTTCTTGTGCCAGGTACCATGTAGCCTTGTAGTACAGCTTGCAGTCTGGTAAATTTATGCCTCCTGCTTTTTTCTTTTTGCTTAAGATTGCTTTTGCTATATGGGGTCTTCTCTGGTTCCATACAAAGTGTAGAATTATTTTTTCTAGATCTGAGAAAAATAATGTTGGTATTTTAATAGGGATTGCATTGAATATGTAAATCCCTTTGGGTAGTATAGACATTTTAACAATGTTGATTCTGCCAACTGATGAGCATGGTGTGGTTTTCCACCTGTTTACATCCTCTGCTATTTCCTTCCTCAGTATTTTGTAGTTCCCCCTGTAGAGATCTCTCACCTTCTTAGTTAAATATATTCCTAGGTATTTTATTTTCTTGGCTGCTATGTGAAAGGTATTGAGTCTTTGATTTGGTTCTCAGTTTGACTGCTGTTGGCATATAGGAATGCTACTGATTTGTGTACATTGATTTTGTAACCTGAGACTTTGCTGAATTTGTTTATCAATTCTAGTAGGCTGGAATCTTTGGGGTTTTCTAGATATAAGATCATATCAGCAAAGGGCAATAGTTTGACCTATTCTGCTCCCATTTGGACACCCTTGATTTCCTTCTCTTGTCTGATCACTCTGGTTAGGACTTCCAACACTATGTTGAATAGAACTGGTGACAGAACCATGTCTGGTTCTAGTTCTAAGTGGGAGTGCTTTCAATTTTCCCCCGTTCAGTATGATGTTGGCTGTGGGTTTATCATATATGTCTTTTATCATTTTTAGGTAAGTCCCATCTATGCCTATTTTGTTAAGTGTTCTTATCATATAAGGGTGCTGAATTTTAGATAGAAACACCCATACACTGCTGGTGGGACTGTAAACTAGTACAACCTCTGTGGAAAGAAATATGGAGATACCTCAAAGAGCTACAAGTAGAAATACCATTCAATTCAGCAATGGCATTACTGGGCACGTGTCCAAAAGAACAAAAGACATTCTATTAAAAACACATCTGCAATAGCATGTTTATAGCAGCACAATTTACAATTGCAAAGATGTTGCACAATCCAAGTTCCCATCAATACATGAGTGGATTAATAAAATGTGGCATATGTATACCATGGAATACTATTCAACCACAAAAACAATGGTGATCTAGCACCTCTTAAATTATCCTGGATAGAGCTGGAGTCCATTCTACTAAGTAAAGTATCACAGGAATGGAAAAACAAGCACCACATGTATTAACCATTAAATTGGTATTAACTGATCAACACTTATGTGCACATATAGTAGTAACATCCACCAAGTACTGGGCAGGTGGGAGGGGAGAGGAAGGTGGAGGGGATGGATATATTCATACCTAATGGGTGTGGTGTTCACCATCTGGGGGATGGACACACTTGAAGCTCTGACTTGGGTGGGGCAAAGGCAATATACGTAACCTAAACATTCATATCCCGTCATATGCTGAAATTAATATATATATATATATATATATATATATTTTTTTTTTTTTTTTTCCTCTAGGATCCACCTTGACTTTTCTCTCTCCTTCTCAAGGCGGGGTTTGATATTATAAAATAACACTTAAACTTAAAAGTAAAAATAAATAAATAAAATAAAATTGCTCAAGAAGTATTGGTTGGCTCTGCATTTTTGTTTGACAATTCTGCCCTCTCCCTTGGAAAATGGATCTATTCTATATACTCAGAGAAGGACTAGAAACAAATGCCTTCAGTTTCCTTTGTTTGCCACACGGTATCCATTCTTTTCCTGTGGCAACAATACTTAAATGTTGCTCTAGAGAAAGCAACTCTAGGTCCCTGGGCTGCAAATGAAGCTCATTCTACCCCAGACTTTCCCCAGAAACCTGGGCCAGTAACAGGTTTAGAGATACCTGGAGCCAGCACACACAGATCATGGAGACCACCCCAGGCTTCAGTGCTAGTAGAGCCACATGCAGGAAGAGGTCAGGTCTAAACATGTAGAGCTCAGTTGTAGAACTATCACAGATGAGGCAGAACTAGGAGAAGGACCCTGACTCTATGTATGGACTTTTTTAGTTGTATGATCTAACTGAGGCCCTTTTTTATTTTAGCCTGTTTGGACTGGGATTTTCTGCCACCTGCAACAGAGAGACCTTAAGTGATTCAAGTAGTTAAAGAAATGCTGGGTTGTTCCCAGTACGTGCATACAGACTTAAATATACACATGTACATATAATTTTAAGGTACAGATAAACACAACTGTCTTTTGTGCTCTATTATCTTTGAGGGCAGGTCAGAGGTCAACAAAATTTATCCCTCTCCCCACTTGCTGACATTTTCATAAGGAGCTCGGGTCAACGGATACAGCAAAGAAGATGGGAAGAAAGCAAGGCAGGAGTGCTTTAGCTTCTTCCCTG